TCTCGGAGATCAAATCGCGCTTTGGGCGTGTGGATAAGAAGAAGGGTGGTGTGCCTATCAACTCCATTGGCTCACTCAAGAAAACTATGGACAAGAAACCTCCCAAGGCGAAGAAAGCTAAGGCAGATAAACCACCTGAGGAGGGCCCTGTCGACTCGGAAGACGAGGAGGAACTCGCGGTCAATGTAGATGGCCAGGAGGGTAAAGAGGGAACGGATGTTTCTGCGTTTATCGAGGTGTTGCGGAAGCGCGGATTCGTTCTTGATGCTTTACCCGAGAGGCCGGGCGATGCGATCGATTTGAGCAACAAGATGTTTGTGAAGATGCAATTTGTCAAGGCGGCGCATCCGAGCAAGGGCAAGAACGCGAAGGAGGACCAAAAAGCGGGGGCTGTGGCGCAGAGGGGTGGAGGTATGAAGTTTGGACTCAAGGGGAAGAGGTTCGGTGCTGGTGATGGAGATGACGAGGGCGATGCTAAGGACGGCGCGGTCTTGAAACCGTGCTTGTACAAGGTCAGGTAGACATGGGAGTGCATTGTTACGATAAGCGCGTTGAGGGGCGTTGAAAGCCTTTCTTCATTTGATCTATCTATCTTCGTAAAACTACGTTAATGCATATGAAGCTTCTTCGCTTCTAGTCCTGTTCCCTGGTAATACATGCATGCTATCGATGCCATGTCGTGAGTTCGTCAACTCATGTCCTCGTCATCGAGACTCGTTTGAACTGTTCAGATCTTTCCAAAGGGTTAAATCTTACTGAGTGACACTACAGCGGGTGTAGACAAGCGCCATGTGATCCTGATCCTATGGTGCTGTGGTCGTCCCGTTGACTAACCACCGAGAAGGAAACTCGCGGCATGTTCGACGTTGCCTCCGAACATCTCCAGGGCTTGTATGGCTTCCTGTTCTGAACAGCCAAACATGCCAGTGAGTTGCTGGATGTTCTCCTGAGGGAAGTTGCTTGTGGGTGCAGATGCTACGGGCGCTTTGGACGCTGTAGGTTGGGCTTGCGGCTGCGCTGGTTGAGATGATGAGGATGATGCGCCGGCATTTGAAGGACCAGCTGCAGCACTGCCTTTCGGTCGAACGGCACCAGTTTTCGCACCAATCTCCTCTCCGTTGGGACCTTGGACAGTTGGCTCGTTCATTTCCGCCTCCTCGAAGCTCCTAGGGATTTCTGACTCGTGCAAGAAAGGTACCTCCTGACCTTCAAAGCATAGGGCGTTCTTCTCGAGATCGATCTTGGCGCGGTAACGCTTGAGCATGTCCAGACCAAAGAGCAGGTCGACGTCCTTGCCTTCCATGACTGTGAAAGCGCAGGGCATGACCGCACCTCCAATCTTGATCTCGGCGTGATGTACACGGCCCAGAATACGGGCTGTGCCGACACCTCGTGCCATACCGGCATATCGGACGTCCATCAGGCGCATGATACCACATCGCTCGGCGCAGTCGGGGGACATGATGGTGGCCTGGGCGCCAGAGTCGACGAAGGCTTTGACGGGCACGCCATTGACCTCGGTGTTGACGTAAAGCATGTGTACGCGCGTGAACACTGTGACATGTTAGCTTCCGTGGACACAGCCCCTCACTTATATATCCCATCGATCTATCCGCCGGTCGAAGTTGACATACCTTCAGGGTTCTCGTCGTATGCCTTTTGCAGGTTCTCGACTACGCGGTCCTGGCGGATGATGTCTTCTATCTTTCGTTGCGCCTCGACGTTGAAAGGGTCTTCGTTGAGCAGGGCAATCTGGTTCTGGCGCTCGCGCTCCGACTCCTCGGCCTGTCGTTGCCTCATGGCATATGTATCTCTCCAGCGGGTGGGGTCGTTGACGGCGGCGGCGAGCTCCGGGTCGCCCTGGCGCAGCTTGTTCATCTGCTGGGGGTCGTTGAGGACAAGCTGTCGCACGCCTTCTGGATCAGGTTGCGCGGGCCTGCCCGGCTGCTGGAGATTCCTGTTTGGTCGAGGTGCGGCGCGCATCACGACGGCCAGCATCTCGCCATCCCGTATTCCGGCGTCCTCTAGTGTCTGTGTGTCTACGGCTACCGGCTGGCCGTTCAGGTAGAGGCTCTGTGACGCGGCGGGCAGGCTGGTGTCGGCCTCGATGAAGCCCTTGAGGTCCTTGACGGTGCTGCCGGGGGGCAGTTCGAGCGTCAGCAGGTCCGTGTCGGCCTGGGTGCCGGGCGCGGTGATGGATATGGTGACGCGAGGCCTGGCGGCGTGTGTTAGCAGCGTGCTGGGGGTGGTGGCACAACCACGGCTCCGGAATCGACTCACATGGTGGTTCGGAGCGGGCTGGGGCGTATGCGGGCACGTCTGGATGAGGCCAAAGAATGTGACACGGTGGGAGGTGAGGTTGGGTTGGGCGGGTCGGGGCAACGGTGTCTCGGTGCGCAGGAGCTTATAGGAAGGAGGCACTGGGCCGTGATGGTCTGGTCGCAACCTGGGACTGGAACGGGCCGGAGGGTCCTCGCAGTGAGAGAGGGAGAGGGCACGTCAGTCGCCGCCTGCTGGGCTGGAAGGGAATGGAACGTAGTGGAGCCGCGAACCCAGCGTCGGATGAATCAGCGATCAGAGGGCACAGGCTGCATGTTGTGAGAGTTTCGCCTAGGCCACCAAGGCTGTCACTCGTAATATACCAGCAACGTCGGGCTGGGGCGTAGGCGTCGGCGCGCAGTCGAAGGAGTAGTACTACTGCATCCAAACCACGACGTTGGCGGTGTAGGCCCAAGCATGGCCAGCAAGCGGGGCAGCCGACGTGCGGGAGAGGCTAGACAGTGCAGACAGTCGCGTCGATATGAATGAATCCCGTCTCTGCTTGGAGCCACGGCGTGTCTGCCATGCACTTGTCCTGGGCGGACTATGCGGCGAGCCTGGTCACCATCTCCGCGGGGGTGCTGTTCATCCGGGAGCATACCCAGACCTTACTCCAGCTACCTGGATAGCATAATGTCTGGGATGCTTCAACTCTTGCCCAACGCATGCACGAGAATCATCTGGCCGCTGCGCCCTACGGCTAGCCCCTGCAAAGGATTCCGTGAGCTGTAGCTCCATGCCACCAGGTGCTGCCATACCCCACCGACATCATCCTACTGCACGTCATGGTAAATCCCATCGCCACGCCATCGCTAGTCAGGGCATGGTCGATAATCCACGAATCCCGCTGTCAGATGTTATTGCTTTTTGAGACTCAAGCATCAGTCTAGAAGAGTGAATCCCATACCAGCCATAACACACGCATATCCCCGCCTGCTCCTTTGGGCCATCTGCCACCCAGCTAACCCGGAACGATCTGCATCGGCAGGCGCGAAGCGAACCGCTAGTAAAGGCGGGGCTGAGGCCGCAGAGAGTCTCGTGAGTCCTCCAGGAACCACGAACCCAGACTCACCACTGCACTCCGGCTTCCTATAGTTGCATCAACCGACCCTCCTGCCGTACCATCATCATAACACCGCTCCATCTGACCTGTCCAACTCACCGCCAAGATGCCACGAGACTTGCTAGCAGACAAAAAGACGCTCGATGGCATGCCCGAACTATCAAGAGAGCCTGAGACCGTCGCTAGCCCAGAGTCCGTGGAGCAGCAATCGAGTCTGGTGCCCCATCGCAGTTCCAACATCGCTCAGGAGGGGAGACTCAAGCAGATGGGCGTCCGGCCCTACGCTTCATTGCTGAACATCGACGACCTGGATGATTGCGATTGGCTCGAGCATGCGGCCTTTGATCCAGTTGAAGCTGCATCGCGCGAGAAGGTGAGAACGATTGCTTTCATCGACGTTATCTCGAACATCATGGTCAATGCCTGTATTTTCTGCTCAGTGCCACCATTGGGCTCCGTCAGGCAAGAGCCATGCGCTCTTCTCCATAATGATGTTACTCAAACCACCAAGTGCGCACATTGTCTTCTGCCCTGTTTCCTATCCATCGTTTCACGAAACACCAATATACCTCTTACGTCGTTCATCGGGTTCAATTGAGTTTGTTATGCGCTGGTCGTTCGCTCTTTCCCCTTCCTCGCTCATGTGCTGCGCTCTTTCCTTCCGGTCTCTTTAGATTCCGCGCTGACTTACCACAGCTCGAGTACCGTCTGCGAACCTGTGGTGAGCTCTGCAGTGGGCTCTTCTCTTCCGCGTATCCCACCACGTCAGGACCATTAGGCGAGACCATCAAGTTGCACTCCTTCCCATCAATAGACTCAGCAGACACAGACCGGAAGCGCGTGATAATTGGTCACATCATCTCAACCAAAGCAAACTCACCCCTTGTCACCGATGACGCGATGGACTATCCCAAGGACTGGAAAACCAACTACCAACTCACGCCAAATGTAGGCCACAACGAAGACGGTCAGACAGTTTGTTTGCACTCATTATGTGTACACCCAAACTTTGCGCGCAAAGGGCTCGGCTCGATATTACTGCAGAGCTATGTACAGAGAATCAAGGATTCGGGTGTGGGTTCTAGGATAGCGCTCATCTGCAGAGACCGGTATATACCTTTCTATGAGAAAGCGGGATTCAAGAAGATCGGACCCAGCAAGTGCCAATATGGTGGAGGGAACTGGGTAGATATGGTGCTGGACTTTGAAGACAGTGGAGATGATGGTTGGGAGTACTAAGAAGTATGCTCAGATAAAAGCGGGCCTTCTACAGGCTGGCATACAATCACGTCCGTAGATGTTTGAGCGATTCAAGAGCGTGTAGAATGGAACAAAGCGCATGTGCAAGATTTAGATGTTCACGCGCACTGTATTCGCTACACATCTGTCGTTGACTAATCGCCCATTCAGCCTCGCTTATTAAACCAGCCTGCTTAGCTCCTGCCCTCAGGCTTCGTTCAGCCGTAGGCAGCTGCGCCTCAGCCTCGTCTCACTCATCAAACCCGACAGCGTTTCCCTCGCTTCTTTATTCTTTTCCTCCTTCCTCCCTCTTTCTGACTGCATTGATGCGCACCGTGTTGTACTTATTGGCGACCGACCCCACACGTCATTCCCCATCATGTCCACCCTGTACGAAGACACTCCGCTCCACATCGATGCCAGCACGAACATTCGACTGCTTGAGATTATCCAAGCAGATGACGAAACGGCTCCAATAGCCTGCACTCTTCGCGTAATCGCTCTCCAGGAGTCGCCCAAATACACCGCACTTTCATACGTTTGGGGCCCACCAACACCCGCAAAAGATATTTTAGTCAACGGCGAGCCTTTCACAGTACGCGAAAACCTTTGGAACTTCATGTATCAAGCAAGGAAAGATCGGCGGACTTGCGCTTTCTGGATAGATGCTGTCTGCATTGATCAAAGTAGCAATCCAGAGCGTACTCATCAAGTCTCTATGATGGGGAAAATCTACTCGGAAGCTGAGCTTGTCATAGCTTGGCTAGGAACTGCTACAAAATACTCAGCTCAATGGGAACGTGCCATGAAGACAATACCTACTTTCGATGAAGATGATCACAGGAATTTCAAACGCTGGTACAAAGTATATGGACCCTCCATTATCGATCTTCTGGACTCGCCTTACTGGAGTCGAATGTGGATTATACAAGAGTACAATCTAGCACGGCAAATTACTTTGCAGTGCGGCCCTCACAAAACAACCGGTGAACTAGTCTTTTCGCTTTATGAGCCCTGGCACAGATATTTCATACGCTATGGAATCAAGAAGCGGCCAGGTTTTCAAAATTCGCTGGCCATCGGTGTGATAAATACTTGGGTCAGGCTGCCTAGCAAGAATCTCGCGGTCTTCGTCACTATGACCCACGGAGTCTCAGGGCGGCATGTTTGCGCGGATCGACGCGATCGTGTATACGCATTATTGGGGTTGCATGGTTTACAGGAGCCCGAAGAGAACTCTATGATGCCTGACTATTCCAAGTCTATACTTGAGCTATACGCCCAGCTTGTCCGCATACTCCTCAATGATGAAACAATCGAGGGCCATGTCAAAGCGTATTTCATGATTACTGTATTGCCGGAAGCGCTGATGATTGAAGAGAAGGAGTTGGAAGGTCTAGACCGCGGGACGATGCATATCCTAGAGAAGCATCGGAAGTATTATGCAGACCATGGGATCACTGACGAATGAATGGACAGACGCGGCTACTGGAAGATATTCGGCGATCACATTGGGTACACCTGAGAAGGACAGATGGAGATCTTTATGCCGGAAGTCTACGACGACTCTTCGAAACAAGAAACCAAGACCACTCAAGCGTACTCACTCCTATCCATCCACCCATGCTGTAACGCCTTCCCATCAATCTCGCTAAACGCAAACCCACTCTCGTACCTTGCGTACTCAATTAACTTGAGCGTATCCATTTTCGCGCCAGCCTCGGTCTGCGCCCACATCGCCACACTCAATACATTCTCGCCCCTCATGTTGAGAATGCCAGGTGGAATGGGATAGCGAGTTTGAGGTCCAATATGGGGAACGTATTTACCGTACTGGTAGCCGTTGACGAAGAGAAGTATGCGTGCAATGGTACCTTTCGGCGCACCGAGTTCAATGCCGATTGGAACGTTGAGGTCGGAGTCGATGGAGAGGGAGAAGGTGGTTGTAAACCAGCAGATACCGGCGCCTTGGACGCCGTCGGCAGTGGGACTGGCGTCTTCCCAAGAAGAGGTGTCGAAACCGGGGAGGTGCCAACCGAGACGTTCGCCGTACAGACCGCCTTCGTTCATTGGACCGCGCACGGGATCGATGTTGTGCTCTCCACCTGCGTTACCTTGAATCTTCCATTGGTCGAACGAGATTTTCTTGTTGTTACCGCTGAGAAGTTGGGCACCTAGTATACCGCGAGGGTTTTCGGCGCCTGCGGGGCCTGTGGAGGTTTGGTCGTGACCTGTATAGTCGGCGATCACTGTCAAAACGTTCCCTTCGTCCTTCAATGTAACGTTCTTGAATGAGAGCAAGGCTGTTGTTGAAGTGAGTGATGCGTTACCGGGGTGGTAACCAATTAATTGCCCGTTGAGCCAAGCACCCCAGCCCGCCGCGACACCACCTTGGACTGTGATGTTGAGAGATGATGCGGTTTTGCCGGAGAAATATCCTCGGTAGATCTTCGCGCCAGTATAGTACTTGTAGTCACTGCTGAAGAGTACGGGTAGGGTAAGTGGCTTCACGGGACTCAGGGTGGTGTTCTTGTTAGCGACAACCCAGTTGCTGTCATCGTATGAGGGTTGGATCTCAGGGGAAGATTCAGCAGCTTTGAAGTTGGCAAGCTCTGGAAGAGTGATCTCGCGTTCTGCGGTTCCACCGATCTTCGCAGTGAGAGACCCATAGGGAGTCTTCGCGGTAGCGAGCTCATTTCCATTCCATGATATCGTTTCCGCATCAGAGCCGGCGTATACCTCGATAGTCGTCGCATTTGCATTGTCGCCAACAACGGAAACTGTGCCGCCTGATGCACTGGCTGAGCGGACGAGATATGGCCCGAGCACGAAGATCTGGTGGTCAGGTGTGACGTTGGGGTCATCTGTCGTTGATGGCGCAAAGAAGGTCCATGCAGTCGGTATATCAAGCATATAAGCCAGAACCCCGTTAGAAAACTCAATGACTGTCGCGCCCTTGCTTTGGGTGTACGAGAAGGCTGAATAGGTGCCATTGGCCGGCTTACTCGCAAGGTCTGACTCTGCACCGTAAGCCTTGAACGTTACGTTGCCCTGCGATTTGAATGCGAACTCTCCTGTCTGGCCTTCGCGGGTGTAGAGCACGAGGACGGGCCGATCAAACAGGCCGTAGGTAGCAATCTCGGCTGACGAGTAGAGCAGCGTTTCGTCACCCACAGCGTAGTCGGTAACCACCCATCGACTCTGACGGCCCGCAAGCTGCATGCTTGGAATGTTGACATCGCCTTCAGAAGTCTTGACTGTCATTGAGAAATCGGTCACAGCACGGGTGCGCGTGTTGTTGTTCTCGGCAAGATAGAATCTACCGTCCGTATCGCGGCTCTTGAGTTGCCAGGTCCAGATTGCAGAGTTGTCGACTGCGTTTGCTGTGCCGTTGTTCTCCATAAAAGTGTTATGAAGACCCTTACTGACGCGGGTGAAGAGTGCGAGAAGTTTGTACTGCTTGAACTTGTCGCGAACTTCTCGTGTCTCGCGTAGCGGCGCGTCATAGTCGTAGCTAGTGTATACAACGGGAGCTGCAGAATGGCCCCAGTTCGTGCCTCCGTATGCCATGTACAAGTTCAAAAGGCTAGCTCGCTGTCCGATCAAGCCCTTGTAGAAGACATCTGCGAACTCCGGGCTCTGTTCAGCCAAACACTGGTCGAAGAAGTAGCCACCCCATGGCTGAAACCATCCACCTTCGAATTCGGGCAGATATTCTGGCTGAGTAGGGGAGACCTCCTGAAACCACTGGTAGTAAGTCCTGGGTAGGTTGAATCCAGTGTCGAGGTTTGTGCAGCTCATGCCGCCAGGGTAACTATCCAGACCGTAAACGTTGATCGCGCCGCCAACATTGTTGTAGTCAGTGGACCAACTCTTCGACCTGAAGCCCTTCTCGTTGTGTGACAAAGGTACAACGATGCCTGCGTCTTTAAAAGCGGACTTCAACTGTTCCATGTAGATGACCAGTGTGTTGTTGGCTTCGTAACGGGTTTGTTGCAGTTCGTTTTCGACTTGCGCTAGGATGACAGGTCCGCCGTTCGTAATCTGGTTCTTTGCGATGATCTCGCCAACTTCCGCTATCCATTCCGACCACGCTTGTCTATATGTCTCATCCGAAGTTCTGTACTTGCCACCACTTCCGTCGCTGGTCCATAGAGCGAAGCCACCTCCATTTGTCTCCGCGTTACAGTATGGACCTGGTCGTGCGATGACGTAAAGTCCGGCTTCCTTAGCCATATCAAACAGGCGCTGGATATCTTTCCCCGGTGTTGTGAAGTCGTATGCGCCTTTCGATGCCGAATGGTACGACCAGAAGAAGTAAATTGAAACGGCGTTCATGCCGTTCGCCTTGAACTTCTGGAAGACGTCGAGCCATAGCTCAGGTACTGGTAGGCGAGCATAGTCTAGTAGGTGCAAAAGTTGAGTTAGCACTCATCTCGTTTACGCTTTATTCATCTCAAATCATCAACGTACGGAATTCTCCACTCATGATCATGACGCGCTCGCCGTTAACCATGAGCGACCCATTATCCCACTCCACATCCGTTTGCAGGCCATTATCGGTCGCCAATACACCAAAAAACAGCGAGATCGCGACTGCAAACAGATGAAAGAACCGCATCTTGACTTCCTCGGTGATGAAGAAAAGTCAATGAGACGCGACGCGACTTTTGCTCTACGACATAGCTCTCGACCTCGCGTGCAGCTAGCCCGTGGACTTCAGCCGCGGCCAAAGATCGCCATCCGGACCTGCGCTTCACGGAACGATCTCATTGACGGTATAATGTTTGCCATGGAAGAAATGCTCAGCGGGGTAATATGCAAGGTACTAGCGACCCCAGATGTGTGGCGTTTGCGGAGGCGGGTGGAACGTCATTCGCCCGAGATGCCGAGGGCGCGTGAAGGAACCTTGGAAGCTTGCCCCAGCGGGAGGATTACCATAACAGGAAGGGAGGAAGTATGTGCACGTCATGGAGGAACATGACATGTAATTTGCATCCTTTGCTGGTGTTTAGTAAACGCCCATAGGTGTTGTCAGGAGACATCGTGAGGTGGCTGGGAATAACGCAGATTCCCAATCTATGGCCGGTGGACGTACTAGCCATTTCCGGCACGCTACTTCACACGATGGAAGAGAGCTTTCCCACACCACTGCGCCGAAGTGGGCTGGAGCAGAGTCAAGCCTTTTAGTTTCCGTTCTTTCCGAGGCTTGTCACGCAACTCTGGCTATGCATTGACATGTTCACGAGGGTACCTTCGAACGACAGGCTTGGAAAAGTGGAAATCGGGCGGGTCCCACTCATTGGAGGATTTTCCGAAACAAATCTCCCCTGACCACACCCACGCACTGAACAAGCGTTGCTTCGAGCGACCAAGTCCCTCTCATCTCTTCCTCTTTCTCTCCACTTAGTGGAGGATCTCGAAACAATCCCTCATCTGTCAGTATGGAGAATATTGAATCGGGAAATTATGCCTCCGTCAAGTGTAGATTCGATGTATGAGTAATTGGCTGGTGGCTAAGTCATTCATTCGCATGTATCATTACCAGGAATTCGTATATATGTGTGGCGTACCAAGCATGTAGGCCAAGCAACCAAGCACTTCACTCGCTCTTTTAAGCCTTTCTTCAAATCAATCATCTTTCACAATGGTCGCCCTGACTCTT